ATGAGCAAGGTCGGGCTCCAAAGCAACTAGACAGTACTTCAAATCCAGCTTCTGCCTTTTTTTTTTTTTTTTTTTGCCTTTCTCCCACCTCATAAAAAACCAGAATTCCAAACCTTCTAGGTCCTAGGCACTGACTCAGCAACATCCTCTTTTGAACTTGATGCTATTTCAGAAAAGGGTGAAGGGGTTGTTCTCCCCTAAGAGAGCAGTTCTGTGCTCTGACAAGCATCTGATTCAAGTGTAAATCATTAAGGCTGCTATGCAGTGGACTTATTCTCAGGTCTGTAGCAAGGAGGAGCATCCACCTTTTTATAGCCTGTGTATTGATTAATCACAACCAGACATCTTTTTATTTATTTTTTTTAATGTAGGTAAAAGCAAGTATGTTTTTCCAAAGCCCCTGTGGAAAGAGAAAGCAGGTCCATATTCCGAGCTCTTCATCTACATCAGGAGGTTATGGAGCAGGGAAGTGAAAATGGTCTCATTATCCTGACAGATGGTGCACTTTACAAACCCACACAGAACTCTGAGGACACAGAGGAAGGTTGTACGTGCTGGAAGTGTGGTGCATTTTGAGCTGCCAGCGAAGTGGAGTGTGAGGTACCACACTGCCCCTCCAGCCTTGCTGCTTTCCAGCCCTCAGAGCTGGAACAAATCCCTTTTGTCATCCCCTGCCCCCTTCTCCAGAAGGGACTGTTCCCCCTTTTAATCCTCCCATCCTGCAATATCTCTAAGGAAGCTCAGAAAGATTCCTCTGTAATTTCAATTTTTTTTTTTTCAATGCAAAAACATATTAAGGCAAAACAAAGCAAAAGGGAAGTTTTATTAATATGAGTTGTCTAGAAGAAAAGGAGGCTTCCTATTCATCTTATCTTGGTTTTCACCTCCCTAAGGTTTCACCTGGTGCCTTTTAACAATGGTTATTTAAAATCAATTTTATCAGGAGGAGTGGCCATTGATTTAGCTAAATGCTGCAATTGCAATTAGAAAGTTATTAAACCCTGTGCCAGACAAATTGACATGAAAATCTGACTGAGGCCGGGGGATAAAGGTTTCCCTCCTTCTTCAGCTGTAAGTTTATTGCACACATAAAGCTATGTGTGCAATAAAGAACATTCAGGTTACAAAGTTGAACACGAGAAAGTTAATAAATGACAAAATGAACTGATACCATTAGGCAGAATTAACTGTATCATTGAGTGGGCAACTTGAATTTTTGACATTGAAACTTTCATAGTCTTAGGAGCACAGTGTTTCCTAGATTTAAAGCAAAAAAAAACGTATTTTGATGCAGCATATGGACACCCACATGGCTCCTCAGCACTGCTGCTTGGAACTGTTAAATCAACACCAGTTTTAATGGAGTCGCTGGCAGTGGTGGGAGGCTGCTGTCCTGTTCCTGGATCAGCAGGAAAGGGAATGAACTTGACAATTTTTGGGGTGGGACTCATGAAGCTGATGGGAAAGGGACACTGAGAAGGCTCTGATGCCCTCAGGTGTGGTGGCTGCTCCTGCTGCCCCTCGTCCATCCCAGCTCGGGGCCAGCCCCAAGGTCACCACGGCTCCCAGCAGACCTCAACAATGCTGTGTCTTTATCTGGCTACTCCTGCTCCCCAAAACTGCTCAGGATATTCCCTAACTTCCAAATTCCAGCCCAGCCAGTCCATATCCCTCCCAGCCAGTCCATATTCCTCCCTCCTGGTCCCGCTTCCCATCTCAAAAGTATCAAATCCTGCCTAATCCTCTGTGCTTGCAGATTCCTGAGGAGCCCCACTGAACTCCTTTGTCATCCCATCCTTTGTCCTCCCTGCTCCAGCTTCTGGGACCCTCTGCTCCCAAGCAAGGAGGCACATTTTGTCCTAAGCAATTTTGGGGGCACAGAAAGGGCACAACCCTGCCTTTGGCTTCAGCTCCTGGCAAAAGCATCACTGAATGTAGCAGCAATTAAGGAAAACTATGATTTCCTTAAGCCTTTAAAAGATAGTGTTGGTTTAATTGCTTTAGTGTTTACTATTTGGCTCAGTGATGTTGATTTTTCATGGAAAAAAAAATAATTAACTGTTTCACTGAACTCACACAAATGTAGGACTTGTATAACAGATAGAAAAGTCACATCCCAGATGATAAATCTTACATTTCTGTTCAAAATGACAAAGGCTCAAAGCAGTCAGACAAAAGGCCACCAGAAATTGTTTTTAATTTCTTCATGTGCTAACATTTTGCTCAAGCCTCATTTTTGGAAACTACTGGAATGACTTTGCTGAACCCTTCCAAAACAATTCTGCTTGAGGCAAGCAATCAAAATGACAAATTTCAGCCTGAGCAATTGGATTTTGGCAAGGTTGTGTACAACTGGAAAGGGAGCTTTTAACCAGCAGAGTTCAGCAGCTGTTAATCGGCCTTGCCACCAGTCCAGATTGCAATAAAGAAAATAAGTGCAAGTAATAACAGTGAAAGAATGTAAACTAAATGAAATAAAAGTTACAGATAGCTGGAAAATCTTTAAAAGGGATCAAAATCAGAGGGTGAATGTTACTCTGCTGATGTTTTAAGAGTTGCCAATGATTTCTTGAAGATTTAAGCACAGGAAAAAAATTAAAAACAGTTGAATCACTTAAAATGATTACATGGAAGACAAAAATTAATCTGAGTAGTGCTTTACACATTCTATGTTGAGGATTTCTCTTGACTTATCTCTGCTACTCATTTAAAAAATCTCTAGAAAACATTTTCCCCTGTGTGAATTTAAACCCTGGCACTTTTTAAGGTCTGTCAGGATTTACAGAGATGTCAGATTGTCAATAAAGCTGATCAGAAAGAGCATCTGAGCTGACACACATGGCTGGCCAACCTCAGATCATCTCTCCAGCCCGTGTTCTCTGATCTAGGGAGATCCATTCTTCCTCCCTGTTTCTGAGGATTACAAGGACAAAGCTTACAGGCATCTGGGAGAAGGACTAAACCTTTCATGCATCTGCTGTGCTTCAGAAAACACAAGCTGGGTTGGTGCAAGGAATGACTTAAGCTGGGACTCACATCCCTCACTGCCTCCAAAGTGTTGGCAGGGGCAGAATGCACAGGATACAGCACACCCCAGTCCCTGTTCCACTAAAACCCAGCTAATTCTCTTCACTGCTTGAATTTTAGATCTGAATGCAAACAGAACCAATTAAATGTATTTTGTCTCCTCTCTTGCTCAGGGAACCAAAATATTCCTTTCCTTTCCTTTCCTTTCCTTTCCTTTCCTTTCCTTTCCTTTCCTTTCCTTTCCTTTCCTTTCCTTTCCTTTCCTTTCCTTTCCTTTCCT